GGCGTACTCTTTCTTGCTCGTGACCCTCGCTCGTAGATCCGGGTGGAGCTCGGAGAGGGTTTCCGCGAAGGCATGCACGCAGACCCAAACGCCCGTCCTCCGTCCTGTCCCTCGGCTGCGTCTCCACATCCCAGGTTCGGCTGCCTTCTCCAGCTGCGATCTATGCTTTGCGAGCTTGCGCAGAGCCTCTGCCCTTCGCACACCCCTGTTGCTCTGGCGCTTGAGGAATGCCGGTCGCCAGACATCCTCATGTTTGTCCACTTCTACCGCCGCATCCAACATCGCGGTGGAGAGGTCCCGCACATGCATGTCAGCAAACTCCAGCTGGCCTTGCTCCACGCGCGCCTTGTATGTTGCCATCATCTCATGCAACCTCTTCCGGCCGAAGCTTCCCTTCGGTCGGCCAGCCCCTGCAGGTGCAGCACGCTTTGCAGGTGGTGTGTGGCAGTGGTCGCGCCCGCAAAAAAGATCTTGCAGACAGCAGTCTCGTGGCCGTTTGGTTCTTGGAGGCGCCGGTTCGACTTTGCTCGTGTCTTTCGAGAGTGTGGCATAGCGGTCACAATGAGATGGCCGCCAGACAGCAGCGAGGGCCGCTTCGGCCGCCCAGTCACGGGCCTTCTTGTTGGACTTCGGATACTTGATGCAGTCGGTGCGCCAACGCGTGGTGACTCCGCCCAGGTCCGCTGTCACCTCCAACCGATACTGTTTGGCACCCTGCACTTGCTTTACACTGAGAAGCTCACCACCGCGTTGAGCCAAGCCTGCCCTGATGCTCTCCNTTCATTATTCTGCAATCTTTTTCGGTTGGTTCGCCGTGGTTGTCGAGAAATCGTGGATTTTGTAAGGTGAAGTGTCCCCCGCAACGATGGTAATAGGCCCATAACTTGTTTTTGAGAANTTTACCCCTCCCCAAAATCGGGGGACAACCGGTGGAACTGTTGAAACGAATAACGAAGAAAGTGTAATGGTATTTGACCCCTTCCTTCAGAATCAATCACCTTGAGCTGTGTGGAACTCTCTTGTCCGACCACAGCAGTAGCAGGTTGTTGTTGCTTTCCGTTGTTCTCTTTCTCTTGATTAACGCTTTCCAAGCCGACTCACAATATCCCACGAAACACGATCAGAGATCGTCTGTACGCACACACTGAACTCCACTGAACAGAAGGGCACATGACTCGGCATAAAGCCCTGATCTAGCATGACGTCACGTCTTAGCATCCGACGGCGCCAAATAACCATGGTCAACCACAATCACATGTCTACCTCCAAATACCATGCCAATTTTCGTTCCGGCGAAGTCTCATGTTTTCAACGATCCATATTGTTATTTCCCTTGGTGTGTCACACGAATTCCGCATGGTTTTCACATACAATGCTTCAACAGATGTGTCGACTGAAGCTGAAAGAGTACAAGGTAGTTGGATGAGGGTTTCCTCGACAAGGAAGCCACGTCGAAGGTGACAGTGGCAGTGACATTGCGTGGCAACGACTCCCCGCGATTTCATGTTTTCATATCTGTCAGTAATGGCATCCAACCAGGAAGACATGCGGGCCGGAGTCGGGTCACTGTTTCAAACCACGTAGGGTTGCGTAGTAAGTGAAACAGATTGTTGGAGGGAGTCGGAACTCAATTTCAAGCCGGAACGTGGGGCACCTGAAACCTTTCACTATGAATGCATGGGGAAGAATGAAAGAGTGAACTTCGTGATACCCGTTTTCTTGGAGCCCTTTTTCTTCAACAATGCATGCCATACTCCCTTGGGATGTCATTGGGAATGTTACAATATTTCCGCATATGTTTGACATCCAACACTTCAGTCGTGATACTAGGGTCGCAGAGCCTAGTTTCAGAGGCATAGAGGCAACAACAACCCAGCAAAGGGCGATGATGCTCAGTACATGGCATGAGAGAAGCACATGATGAGGCAGCAACGCTGCTTGATGGTATTAGTGCGTTTTCTCCTTGTAATTTAGAAGCAGGAACATCGGACTCCTGCGCCCCCCCCCGTTGGCAGTACCCCGTGACTACGAAGGCAGTTCGCTATTATTGTTCCGCCTAAAGACTGGCGTATTTCCATTGGTCAGCCTGTTGTTAGCGCGGTCGTTCAAGAATCACCCTTGTATCATAACCCTCGTTGAGCAGGCGCAAGACCAGCATTGCAGACAGCAGCATGCCATAACTACGGCTCGTCGAACATGTGTGTGAGTAGGCTACACTAGACAGCATCTTCGTGTCACCAGCTCATTCGCGCGACCGGAGTTGACGTCGATGACCTGGGACAACGTCATGGACTTGTTCCGGCGGAAAGCTGCTGCTAATGATGCCAGCAGCCAGGCGAAGAAGTGGAATCGATGGTTCTTCACAGGCCGCAACAAAAAAGCGAATGCGTCGAACGGGGGTAGTCTATGGAAGGAAGTAAGTTCGTGGCACGGGGTCCAAGCACGGCTAGGTTCTTGTGTTGTTGTTGTAAGAATCAGGTTAACATATTCAAGTTCTTCGCCTCTACCGAATTATGGGTTGGTTGCTGCCACGAACATTTTAACAGGTGCTCTTCTGACTTACTGGGCGACGCACGTGTGTGCGCATGTTGCCGTGCAGCCGCAAAGAGCGGGCGCCCAGATAACTTGTTGCGTAGCCGGACAAAAGCTGTCCAGCCAGATGTTGGAGAATGTCAAGCCACCCGGTGTTAGCAACTATATGTAGTCTCGCATGCTTTCAAACGTCAACTTGTGGATTATGCTTTGAGCGCGCCATGAGTGTTACATGTTGGGAAGCTACCGGACGTTGTGTATGCATCAGGAGATGGACGTTGTTCGTCGATGTAGAGGTGAGAAAACCGGGCTGAAATAAAATACATGACTCAGCCTTTCGTTTCTCTTTTGAACTCTAGGGGGACGGCGACAACGATTTTTATACACATTATAATAACTTTGCACGACATTTGAGAAAACGTTCACCTGTATTTGACTGTTTTGGGGATGTACTTTGCTCTCTTCGAAAGTTTGCGTACGCACAACTTGACACTCACGCTCCGAACAGCCCCCATCGGCGCTACAGAAGCGGACTTCCTCTGAGACCATCTCCCCCGACGGTGTTAGGCCTAACGGTGCGAAGATTGCTACCCTCACCAAAATCCCTATGCGCGAGGATGTCGAGCAACTCCGTTCTTTTCTCGGCGGCCTCAGCTAAAACCGCAAGTCTCTCCCCAACAGGCTACACGCGTTCGGCCTCTGGCTTCTCTCCTCAAGAACAGGTGAAGTTCCTCTTCATCCCATCCATGGAGCAAGCCGTTCGCGTCCTGTTGTCTGAGTTGTTCAACCCCCCTGCTTTGGTTTATCCAGATTGGGATGCCGCTTCGTACGGCTCGCGACCTTTATCTTCATTGTGATGCTAGCAGGAACAAAATCAGCCGGATGGCTCCATCCCACCCATCGTTTTCATCAGCCGAGCTACTGCGTATTGGACTCCCAACGCCGTTGGACTCCCCTCGATCTCGAGGCAGGTATCATCGTGTGGTGTATCTTGTGGATTACGACATTTCGCATTTTCACTGACGACAAATCTTTTGAGCGTTTCGCCAAGGTGGGGGACAACAATGCCCGCTTTCAGCGGTGGCTCGAACTTCTTACCGCCTACAACTACAGTCTTGAGTATCGCAAGGGTTCCGCGAATGGCAACGCTGATTTCCTCTCTCGCCTTTTGATCGACTCGGCCCAATGTGGCCGATCTGACCGTAGCCGCTTGACCCCGGCTGAGGATGAGGAGACCGTGCTTTCATCCGCTCTTGTGGCCTTACACCTTCCGGTCATCGGACCGCGGGTTTTGGCTTGGGTGGGCTAGTCCCGACTTCCCCGACTGCGATCTTGGGTGGGCTTGCCCTCTCCACAGCTGACTTAATCGCTTTCGGTGGGCACGGTGCCGCGTCTCCCGCTTACAGGCCTCGCCTTTGCCTGTTGTCTGGCCCATCGCTGCCTGGCAGTCCCTGACGCTCGGTGTCCCGCCTCTTTCGAAAATGCGCAATCGGCCTTCTGTCGTTTCGTCCGACTCTATGCAGCCGTCTTGGGATGATATTATTGTTCTAGAGCCCCGAGTCTCCGTCGACCGCCCCGCCGGCTTCCACGCCACGTCGGAACCTCCATCCTACCCCAGTGATTTCCACGCACACTCGCCACCGCAAGGCGGATGTGGCACGCAAGCCGCTCCCGCCTGTTGACAGTGGATTCTCTGACGACCCGTTCCCCGCCTCATACACGGATTTTCGTTTCGCCTCGACCGTTTCGACGGCCTCCGACGAGGCCCTCGCACCGTCGACGACACCAGTGCTGCCAAGTTCCGTTTCTCTACTCTCATTGTCGTGTTTTTTTTCCTTGTCTAATCCGTAAACAAGCACCATGCAATTTGCATTTACTCCCCGTAGGATAGCAGTTTGCCTGGGACCACGGCAGGCAATCATCTGCATCACGTGGCCGAAAGCGGATGCTTTCAGGTTCTGAACAGATGTAACTTGGAGGCAACAGCAACATCAAACAACAACAAGAGAGAGAGAGAGAGGCGCCGAAAACCTCGTGGTGGAGAGATCAGCGGTTTCAACCGCTGAAGTCGAAGGAGAAGGTGCAGCGAGATATATTGAGGTGAAACAGTGATATACAGTCTCTCTCTAACTCCCGCCCGATGTATCCATAGTTACCAAGCGCTCAATGAATTGTGTTTCTTCTTCAAGGTGCCGACCTCAGCAGAAGTAGCGGCAGCTGCTGCAATGAGACCGAAATGGGGTCTCGGTGGTTTACGGCCCATGTCTGTCGTGATGGTGTTGCCAGCCTCATCTTGGCACACAGAAGGGTGAGTGAGGCCGATCATGATCCTTTGCTGAAGTCAAGCACGATGTCCCAGCGGCTCATGCAAAGACAGAACAGCGTGTGCAGCATACTGCAGCTGTTAATACCCGGTATTTCGTATGCATAGTGCGGGTGCTGCCAAACATTTACCCCGCTGCTCTGAAGAGCATATGTGACGAGCTTGAATTTTTCTCACGCGTCACCGCGATGGCGTTATTGAAAATATTCATGTGTGCGCAATGTGTGGAGCACGTTGGACTCTGGTAGTTGTATGCATAGCCAAAACACAGTTTGTTGCCGCAGAACCGCTTTCACCCACCATCGCGTCATTGCGTGATCGCCTTCGTAGGTGGAGTCGCGAGGACTGGGCCACCCCCGCCGACAGCAAGACTACCCCGGCTCTTTTCCTGAGAGAAAACGCCGAGGTAACAACGAACTTCAGAAGCATCCGACGTAGACAAACAATACTGCAGTGCACCACAACAACCAGAGAACGCCGGGGGGAGCAACTGTTTTTGTTCCGCGCCCCCCCCCCCCCCCCCCCCCCCCCCCCCCCCCCCCCCCCCCCCCCCCCCCCCCCCCCCCCCCCCCCCCCCCCCCCCCCCCCCCCCCCCCCCCCCCNCCGTCCCGGCTTTGTAGGGATGCGAGGTCAATGGTCTAACGACTACGGCATGCATGACTATGAGTATGAGTACACCCCCCCCCGTGTTTGCCATTGGGATTGGGTTTTCGTCGCTTGGCAACGACGTTGTAAAACA